AAACCAAATATCGACAGTGGGTAGAATATGTCGTAAATACCTTCATATAGACCATATATAGCATTTGCTAGCAATAAAAAGTTTGGGAAAAATAAGTAATTTATTTTCAAGTTCGATTGAAATATATATGCAGATGGGGAAATGTTCTTAAAGTCAACACCACATTTACTACAATCGACCAAAAAATCAGCGGGATCAACCGCCCAGACTTCTTGGCGCCAAATACCACGTGCTGTCAAAATCTGACGAACACGTTTAGCTGTTCACCTACATGGATAACTGATTTGTCAACAATAAAAATGGTGTCTTCCTTATCTCCTTGGGAGCTTCCCAGAGAGTCCCACTGGGTATTTACGTGACCTGTGAGTCACTTTTTATTTCCCCAGATGCATGAAATGTTGATATTATTTAGCATAATCCATGAAGAACTCCATTCCTGTGACCTCCTCCCCCACAATGGGACCGTCTTTATTAACGTGTGGTTTGTGCTAGGTATGCTGGAGCAGACCAGATAAGACCAGTCTCTCATTTCTGTGTGTGCTCAATTCTCACGTCAAATTATAAATGCATTTGTTTTGTGAAAATTATGGCAATTAAATGCTTATTTTACGTTCAGGTTGTATCATTGGGGTTTTCAATATGCACCGTTATTTTTGTGCACAGGGAGTGTATATAAGTAAGAAAATCGGAAGAGTGCCAACAAGATATGTCTATCGGCACAGGTAGACTCCATAGTCTGCCTTTTCTCAATATATTTTAATATGACATGCTTTTTAAATTAAATACTTAAAAGTAATTTAAAGTTACACTGAATACCGTTTGAGTACCAGTTGGTATTCTTTGATAGGGGTGATTGAATTTTCTTCGGAAGTACATATGTCTACGCCTCGACACCGAGGAAGCCTTGCGAGTTGAAAACAACTGATCTCAGACTGGTAAAAAAATTTCTATTCAGTTGATTTTAGTTGTCATCTTAAAATTCAAATAGGGCATACTGTCAGGGTCCCCTAAATGTCTTAATGTAGTTAATAAACTTCATGAGCAAGATTTTGCCTACACTCTTACGGAAGTTTCATAACTACATTAAGACATTTAGAGGTCCCTGACACACCCTGACCCCTAAATGTCTTAATGTAGTTATGAAACTTCTGTAAGAGTGCAGGCAGAATCTTGCTTACCCGGGCTCGTCCTTGAGCAAGACGTATTTGCCCTTAGCTCCCCATGCAGGGTTACGCTCAGAGAACTCATAATCAAAGCGAAACTGAGACAGCATCGGAATCCTACTATGCATTGCTCAACGAGATCCGAGAACTTGGAACAGGATTTATCAGAGACGAACAGATCTGATAAAAAGAAAAACTCTTGCCTCTAACAAGTAGAGACTTAGTTCTTTCGCGAACGTGGAGGAGAACAGTTCAGCTAAAACACATTAAGCTAAGGACTGTGCCACCCGAGTAAAATACTTGCGACTATTAGATGTAGATATATGATAACTTAGGCCTTACAATAAGGTACAAGACGTTTGCATTTGTAAAGACATGCGATGGAATTTTTTTTATTCATGACCAGGGATAATTCTCACTTTAATCGTTAAAATTGTGTCAACATTTAAGATATATATATAAATATGCAAATTTCTCGATGTTTCATATTATAAATGTGTAAATATGTAAATAGCTAGCATGTTTAGTTTTACGTTTACGAGCTCACGGTTTTTCTTTCCTCAATTTTTCTCCTCGTATTATTAAACGGGTATAACGAGGTTTTTGATGGGGAAAGTTTTTTAACCCAGAGCGTTAATTCCCATATTTCTTCAATATGAAGTATATGTATAGTAAAACATTGCTATTAAGAGAAAATACGTGTATCTATCTATAAAAAAAATATGTAACCATATTTTTAAGTGAGAAAAGGAGGAATGTGTCAGGGACCCCTAAATGTCTTAATGTAGTTATGAAACTTCCGTAAGAGTGTAGGCAGAATCTTGCTCATGAAGTTTATTGTCATTGTTTAATCGAAGCCAGTTTGATCAGTCACTGCCTAGAAGGATGTGGAGGTGGCCAAGTGACCTGTAATTTAATAAAGTTTTGTTCAGACGGTCGAGGAGCGACCGGTAATTTAATTTAAGCATATTACTTGTATACCTGCATATAAGCCAGGTGGGTAACATTATTCGAGGAACTGATGTTAGACCTCAATGAGACACGACGATTGTAATACTTGTTATACATCAGAATTAAATATTGTTGATAGTTAGAAACTTTGCACGGGACTCGAGTTCGTTCTCTCACGTGTTTACTTGCGTGTATTCAAACCTCGAACTTTGGACAAATTGAACTGCGATCGTAATCGGCTAATATTGCGTTAAGATAACATCGGATCGGGCCGATACCCGACAATACGTAGATCACATAACTAGTTTAAGTCCACTAAAGCTGCCGGTTTCAAATATAAGTGACCGGGGATTGTTTACAACACCTGTCTCCGGGGAAATATTTGTCCCACTTGTGAAGCGCATCAAGTAAATGATCGGAGAAGAGGGAAATAAATAGATAGAAATTATAATTGTCATCTGTTTGAATGTTAAGTAATGTTAGCACATATTGTACACAGCAAAATAAGATTTCAAAAGGAGGATAAAACGTGCCTGAAAGACGTGTTAGGCGAAAATTGCGGCTTATCTTGTGTAACACTTCGGGTAAAATGCAATACTTCCGTAAGATGGACGTTTTGGCAGATGCCCCAAACAATCTGACGATATCAAAGGTTTCCATTGCTATATTTTAATCAATTCGACCAAAATGACATTTCCATGAAATTAATTAATCAATCTTGGTTGAATTGTTTGGCATATTACCGTATTGTGTTATCGGTAAAAGTGCACGGCAACAGACATCTGTGTCTGTACATAAAAACTGCTTTGAAAGTTCAAAATCATCAGCAATTGCAGAGTAAGTGAAGGAGATTCTGGACTGAAAAGATAGGAAAAAAGTACATCTGCAGAAGCACACTTAGAACCAGTAGAAATGAGAGAGATAATCATCACAGTGGTTTAAACTTTCTGAACTTGAAGAATGTGACAACTGAATGAGTTATCTACGTACCCACAATCAAGTTAGCTTTCATGCATATTCTGACTGTGTGATCGCATCACCACATCAAGCTGGAGATGAAAGCAGAGGTAAGCAAGAGCTGAAACCTGACTGCGAAGAAAGTGTTTTTATCAAGTTCTGTAGTAAGCTGCAAATGGCCGATAGGATTTAAGTGTGGGAATATAATTTTAAATAACAATAACTTTAGGCTTAGCTTTGGGCCTGGATGGATCTACAGGACGACAATATGTGCACGTACTACCATACCTGAACATATAAATGTTAAGACATTTCTGTTTACTCACCTGATTATGCATTTCTGCAGCTTGTGAATAAGATCTTAATGATAATGAAAACTTGAGAAGGCCCAGTTGTAATTTGGAAGGAATAAGTTTTTCTGCTATGGACAGAATCATCTCATACACTTCCTTAGGTTCTTCTGAAAGGAAAAAACATGCTCATTAAATAATGCTCATCACTTTTCAACCCCATAGAGACCGTCACCCCATACATGCGGTTCAGTTCTCTCTTACCCCAAAGACCCAGAACCACATATAATATGCGTATCTTGGAAATATTGTTTTGTTCCTTTTTGAACAGTAAATTTATGAAATATGATTATTACATTCCTTCAGATATGATAGTTGGCTCTTATTTGAGCTATCTTAGGGAATGTTAAAATGTATGAGAGGAGTCAGAAAAACCCGATTTTATAGATGTTTCATAAACTAGTGGCAAAATGGGGCAGCTTCTCACCACTTCAAATATAATACTAAATTCCAGATAATTTAAAAACGTAAATGCTGAATTTTTCTGAGTACATTGATAACTCACATCACTTCATTCTGGTGAATTCATGTACATCTGGACACCAAAATGACACTCACTCAATGGACCTCAAGGACATGCATGTAGAATGCTAGATACCACTTTTCCCTGTACATCCATAAGTTCCTTTTTTCATGTAATAATGAGAACAATTCCATTTAATTTAACTTATTCCTGCACTGTTGCATACATTTTGACAGCAGTTATTCAATTTTAAGTAGATTATTCTCTGTCTAAAGGTTAAATGGTTTAAAAAACAATAAAAATAAAATTGCTCAGAGAGTTACTTGCGGAATTGCAAAATTAGACTGATTTTCAAATTCAAGTTGTATTTTTGTCCTGTGTTTCTTTTCTGTAAGTTGAGAAGAGTTAATGACATGGTTTTCATTAAATGTTCTCTATGGTGGCAGTGCCCAAAACAGGGTTTCGTTTAATTACATAATGCTTTAGAGCCACCAATTTTTAACCTGGGGTAGCACTAGCAATTTTTTTTGCTTAGCTAAATCACCACATTTTTGTCAATTTGTTATCAAAATGTTATAATTTGGCTAAAACAAGTCAAATCAAGCCCTATGTCTTTAGCCAATTTAAGTCAGTTTTAGCATTTGGCTAAATTGGCAAGTGTTAGCGCTACCCCAGTTAACTATGCACTGCAGGTAACATACATAGGAAAAAGAAGTGATTAGCATAGGTCTTCAGGCCCATCAAACTGCAAGTTTGAGTATCATAAGCAGCAAAGTTTTCCTGAAATGGTCACCATAACGGCAATGTCCAAAATAGGTTTTCTTCAATTTTTATACAACAAAACATAATGCTTAACAGCACAATCATCATCTTTAATTATGGTCTGATCTGATTTTCAAACTTAACCAGCATTTCAGAAAGATTGATCACTCCTGTGAGTTTCAAAATAAAAGGCCTCTCGGTTTTCCTTGAAATGTGCTATCTCTACTGCATATATGCTGAAAATGCAAAAAAAAATAAAAAAACATGCATCAGTTCTGTAAGTTTAAAGCCAAAAGGTGAAACGGTTTTCCACTTATGGGGCTGCCAAAATGAAAAATGCCCACGATGACGGACGCAGGTGACTTCGTCTGTACATAAAAAGGTCAAACAGCATTCCAGTGACTGGGAATATCATGCAATGCAGAAAGCAACTGCTGATTGATCACTGATGAGGGTCACTCACTGATCCTTAAAATGAAGTATATTCTTGGCAATTCATAAAACAATCTTTTTAATAGCATGTAGTTCATTCTTTGAAGTATATGTAGTTCATTAAAATAGGCAGTTAAACCAGTAGACACCACCGCGTATAAAAGATTAGATGTAAAATGAAATCACATCATTCAGATAAACTGTATACTTACTATCTTGCCTGTCAGCAGTGTTGGCCTCTGCCACAGTATCCACAAAAGCCCAGAACATGGCATTACTCTCCTTGGCCAGAAACACGCTGAAATGATATAGTCATTTTCATTTAGCTTATGCAGGTTGTGAAAATTTAGTAGATAATAAAAGCCTCATGTTCAGATTTTAATTGTCCATATATATATATATATATCTTCATAGTAAAACTAAGTCAACCCAAAACCTTCAGACTATCTTTCACTATGAGCTAACTCTAAGTGACTGTCTTTGCTTATAAGACCCCAGGCACATGCTCACAGGACCCATACCAAAATAAGATCATCTGTTTAAAGATGCATACAAAGTCAATTTTTTGTCACAAAAACCAACCAAATGCCAGCATATAGTTACAAGTAGTATAACTAAGAGAATTACCAAAAGCCATTGTTTAATTTTACCCCAAAGTGATGTTTGAACAGATTTTTCTGCTGGTATTCTAAGCTGTATGTCAATGGGGCAGGAAAGTAGGTCACGGAAGTAGGTTAAATTTACAACCATAAATTTAAAGAAAGGAGCAGTCTAAAGGTCTTTTATGGCCGATCGAGTGATCTATTCAGTTTATCCCTTGGCATGTCGAAATTATTTGAGTCATATAAGAATCTAGTAGAAGTGGTTTACATGTGTTACTGGGAATCTACACTCCACCGATGCTCGGTTCGTATGTACCTTTAAGGCCCCACTATGCTATGCAGTTACCAAGGGCCAATTTCCAATATTCCTTAAAACTTATATAAATAAACAAGTTATTGAGACATACTTTAGTGATAAAGGTAGGGGTTGCTATGTAAAGTCAACATTGATGATGTGATGCAATTATCTTTTTCATAATCTCAGATGTTAGTTGGGGTTATATAAAGAAACATTTGCTTTTTTTAAACAAAGTGCTTTCACATATAAAATCCTTTTTTTTTAAAGCTTTGCTTTTGTATCCCTTCAATACACACATCGACTTTCAGAGATCATTCTTTAAAAAAAGAGTAAGGCTGTGTTCAGAATAGAAGTTATTTTATTAGCAGGGTCAATCTATCTCAGTGAGGATGGATTCTCGGTGCAGTCAATGTAATAAGCTCACTTGTCAGGCACGTCCCATCCTAACATAAGCCCCATTCACACCTACATGGTTAATCGAGATTAAGGGAATCACAATTCTAACGCGCTTAGCTAAATTCACTTTTTTGCGTTCACATATGTAAAAACGAAATAGCGATTTACCTTGCTAGATCTGGTAATTGCAACTGCGCTCGCTAGGGGAGTCACGGTATCTCCTGTTGATCATGCGCAGTAGCTGCCTTCAAGACCATGCTTTCGGTGTGAACGGTGTTATTTTCTGTTTAATACTCTCATCGGCCCAAATATTTAGTTATGCTGCCACTGAGTTTTCAGACCAGTATGTCTGGGGTTGTAAAATACTTGGGTAAAGTCAGGAAAGCTTTGTGGTCTATGACTCTGTTCATGTTGCCGTGTGAGGGGGCGTGCCAGACAAATTAAGCTGATTAAATTGACTGTACCTAAGCAAAATTCCCACTGAGATAGATCAATCCAGCTAGTATGATAACTTAAATTCTGAACAAGGCCTATGACAGAAATATGTTAGAACTAGCAAGTGTTCTATATCTAACAAATATTCAGACATAGAAAAAAGTTTTGAGAACTGAAGGTCCAGATGACCTGTACTACAAAAGATCTGCAGTTGCTCCCAATTCTGTGCCGGTCAAACTAAGTATTTCTGTTAGACTATGTTTAGCCTCTGGCATATCTGCAAGCGGGGATGACCTGTCAGACAATGAGTTTCCCCATGTCTGAATATTTTGTTATTGGTTCTTATAAATGCAGTCCATGAACTCATTGCCAAGCATGGTCATTCAGGCTATACCTAGTTTCTAGCATCAGTGGTGTCGACTCCCATTTGGCATCTAGTGACACAGAGACAAATTTGGACTTGGCATCTACTTCACTGCAGGCATGCAGCACCAAGATAACTAACAAAACAAGCCCTGTCTGCAAAAAAATGAAATGGGAATTAATTTTTATTACTTTAATTTCTAATTCTACACCATGACAGATAAAAACATTTAAATGTACAGACCTGTATTTAAATCTGTACACAGACTGCATCAATAGTATAATAAAGTAAATGACAAGCCAATGCTTAAATGAAAAGCACCCCCTCCCATTGAAAAGAAAATCATTTTCAAAACATGGGGCACCAAAATGAATGATGATTACCTCCGAAAAGTATGTAACATTTTTCAAAAATTTTGTCCCTGTTAGTTTGTAAGTGTGTTTGTCTGTCTATGGACAGCATTATGCAAAAAGTCATAGACAAATTTTGAAGATATTTTCAAGATAGGTCAGAAATGGACAAAAGAACAAAATTTAAGATTTGGGTTATGATCCCTTCATTAATTAATAGAAAAATAAAAATGAAAATGGAAAAAAAATTAGAATATTAATAGTAATAAAATTCCCAATGCAATTTACCTGAAAGGTAGAAACACTGATCAAAGTCACCACATGTTGAAATAAGGAATATCAATGAAGAGTCACATATATACATACAATAAAAATTAATAAGTAAACACGAGACGTGTGAACCCCAACTTTTGAGTTTCACTAGCATACCCATAAGGTATGCCTGATCATCAGGGCCCGGTTGCACCAACAGGGCGTAAATTTACTCGGCTACGACTGTCGTAAACCGCAACGCCTGGCGTCCGTGCGCCAGGTTTACTCTCCCTGCTTACGCCCGTTGCACCAAGACAAAAACTGATTGTCGTAACTACGCCCGAGTAACGCTCCGTTGCGCCACTGGCCAACAATACGTGAATGGTATAATTGGGCAAATGAGGTGATCTCAGCTGCAGTCATAATGGAATGATGACATAAATAAACACAAAAGGAGCATTTCAGAGACGGAGAAATTCATAAGCTACATTATTCCATTTTGATTTAGTAACAAGAACGTTGAAATACGTTAACTTTGCTGTTGCCTTGGATATATAGCAATAAAATCGTAAATATATTCCGAATCAAAATATTATTATAACATGCTATTATAGTATGCTGTTGTAAATGAGAAAAACGCGTCGGAGGCAGTACGTATTTCATTGGCTTATTAATGGATTTGAACACCTTCACATTTGTTATTGAAACTTTTGAGACTGAAAATAATGCAAAAACGCCAACATTGCTCTCTTTTTATATTTTTACAACAGTGCCAACAATTTCATGACCTTCTTATCTATGGTTACACCGTGAGAGATTATTTAACTCAATCGAGCTTACATCTTGGAGATTAAGAAATACAAGAGACCTAATACACATTATATGAGCCTTAAAAAGTTGATATTTTAAGCTTTCGTCTCTATGTTTATATATAGTAAAATATAAATGATATAAAATGTGAAGAAAGAATTACTATAGTTAGTTATGGTTTGTCAAAATTGTGAAAAGAAAAAGAATTAAAGAAACCGTACTGCTGAGAGCCAAGACGTACCTACGAGTGGTAAGATTTAATTTGAACATATGCATATACATGTACATGGCTACATATATAATGTATTTAATAATCTTTTATATATATATATATATATATTTTTTTTTTTTTTAAACCAAGCTATACAGAGGGAAGATTTGAGTAGGAAACTAACAAATAGCAACCCACATTTTCTACGTTAACTAAGATTATTGTCATCAAACTCTCTCTGTGCTTGCCTAGCCATAGTGGAAAACGAGCTACGACCGACTTACACCACCTAGCTGGCAGGCGTAAATTTACGACTAAGTTAAGACCGACATAAACACTATTCTATTTTGGTGCAACTGGCTTTACTCGGGCGTAGCGATTTGTGCCCGGTTTACGCCGGCGCAACTGCTACGCCTCACTTACGACCGGTTGGTGCAACCGGGCCCAGGTGTTTATTTAACATGGCAGCAAACTGTTTTATTAAGAAGTTACCAGCCAAATATTCAAAGTGCAGGCCATGTGGTAATTACTGATGTTTGAGATGTTATCAGGTACCAATGCTGCACAGTTAGTTATACATATTAGTCATATGCAAATAAAGATAAAATTAACAAGGCAGCAAAGCTGTCAAATGTACAGACAAAAAGCAGAAAATAAAAATGCACAAAATAGGCTACTGTCAATTCTGATGCAAAAGTACATTATGCTTAACCGCAAATTCAATATCAAATTTTAATTATGCTCAACAGGTAAAACCAATGTAAGTAAAATATGTAACAAGCATAAGGCTTCAGGCCCATGAGAGTTCACACTTTGAAAGTGCCAGAATGAGAAAAATGAAAATTTTACACAAAATTGCATAAGTTCAATAATAAATGATAACCCAATTGATCTGGCTTTCTAATTTGAACTGCATGCCAATCCTAAAAATCATAAAAATAAGTTAAAAATAATAATAATAAGTAACACAGTTTTCTTTTCAAAATGTTTATAGTAGCAGTGCATTTTTGTCAATTTTGATGTAACATTACATAATAAATTACAGAATAATTATCACCAATTTTTGATTATTGACTATAAATAGCATGGACATGTAGAAAGTTTGGTTACCATATGGCTTTATGTCCATGGGAATTCTGAGTCCCACAATGAATATGCCAACACGATAAAAATGAATATTTCACTTAAATGTATAACTTCAAGAAAAAGAAGCCAATTAGACTGCTTTTTCAACTCGGGCTGCATTTTAGTCCTGTGTTTCTTTTTTGAAAGTTTGACAATCATAAGTAACATGGTTTTCCCATAATGGTCATCATGGCAGCAGCTCCCAAAATTGTGTTTTCTTCTATTTTGATGCAATATTACATAATGCTTAACAGCATAATGACCATCAATTTTTAATAATAAAATATACGTATCATGGATTTTCAGAAAATGTGACTTGCATGGGTCTTCAAGCCTGTGGTGGTTCTAAGTCACACCTTGAAAATGCCAATGTGCGAAAAACTGCATGCCAATCCTAAAAACCATACTTGTAAGTTAAAAATACTAATAAGTAACACAGTCTTCTTTTCATAATGTTTGTAGTAGCAGTATAAAAAGATTTTTGTCAATTTTGATGTAACATTACATAATAAATTACAGAATAATGATCACCAATTTTTAATTATTGACTATAAATAGCATAGACATATAGAAAATTTGATTACCATGCAGCTTCATGTCCATGGGAGCTCAGAGTCCCACAATGAATATGCCAATACTATAGTAATGAATATTTCACTAAAATAAATAACTTCCAGAAAAAGAAGCCAATTAGACTGCTTTTCCAACTCAGGTTGCATTTGAGTCCTGTGTTTCTTTTTTGAAAGTTTAACAATCATAAGTAATACGGTTTTCCCATAATGGTCATCATGGCAACATCACCAAAAATTGTGTTTTCTTCTATTTTGATGCAATATTACATAATGCTAAACAGCATAATGTCGGACTACCCTAGGTTCTAGATTCCGGTATTGCCAGCTCGATCTTGATTTCATATATAACCCATAGTAGCAATACCAGGCTCTAGCGAACAGTGGCAACTCGGGGGCGTTCTTCTTCAAAATTCTGCCTGGGGCGCTTCCATATTTGGAAGTCACACATCACAGCTGTGTCTGCCTGGATCCATATTTGGAAGTCATAAGTCTCGTACGTCACAGGTTTGGCCGCCTGGAGCTGCCTTTCCTGCCTTGCGCTGAAGTCTCGTGCAGGCGAGACAAGAAGCAATTAAAGTGCCTGACGCGGAGTTAGAAGTTTGAAATGAAAATATCTTGCAGTCGAAGGTCATAGTCTATGGGCCAATGTAGACCCCCCTCCCCCCCCTTAGTGGTTTTCGTTCACTATGTTTTTNCCCCCCCTTAGTGATTTTCGTTCACTATGTTTTTCTGATAGCTTAGGTCCTAAGCTTTGATTTTCCGCTTGTTTGCCATTAAACTGGTGGTGGGTGTGTGTGCTACAGCCGTTGCCATGGTAACGTCTGAGATTAAAAATTGAAATTTCTGAGACCAAAAAAATATTAAATTATTCAAATGTGTTAAGTGAATGGAATTCAAAATCTTTTCAGATGTATAGTTTAAGAGCTGCACTATACTTTATGATCCTCAAAATATTCCAAGATGGCTGTAAATTCAAGATGGCGGCCAATTTTTGCTAATTTTTGGGTAATTTCAATTATTTGTCATATTTGAGTCTTTATTCAATTATTAAGGAATAAGAATGTTGGATATGTTTTGATGCTCCAGAATAGCATACAGTCTCTACTTGCTACCTACAGTATTTATTTTAGATGAAACCTTTTAATTTTGTTGTAAAATCCTGAAATCCAAAATGGTGGCCAAAATATAAGTCTGCTGTCCCAACTGGAAAGATGCCAGATTTATCATCAAAGTGTCATTCTTTATTACTTTTAATAAACTGAATTCGAACTTAGGACTTTTTAAAACAATTTGCATTAATTCTGATTACATTAAGACTTTCAAAATTCAAAATGGCCGCCAATATGCTTATACACACTGGCTAAAATTGATATAATATATTCTTCCAACAGAATATTAATTTTAATTATCTCCCACCAACTTAGTCCCATTATTGATTTTTGTTTTCTATTATTTTCTGGTAGGTAAGGCCCTAAGCTTTTATATTCTGCTTGTTTGCCATTAAACAGGTGGTGAGTCTGAGTAACAGAGCTGTTGCCATGGTAATGTCTGGGGTTGAAAATTGATATTTTTGAGACCAAAAATAAAAATTAAATATATCAAATGCATTTAAAATCATGGAATTCACAATTATACCAGATGTGTATTTTAAGAAGTGTGCTATACTTCACAATCATCAAAATGTCCCAAGATGGCAGCAAATTCAAGATGGCTGCCAATTATTGCTCATTTTTTAATAATTTTGGGAATATTTTTATATTTGAGTTTTTATTTAATTATTAAGAAATTGCAATGTGGCATGTGTTTTGATGTTCCATAATGGTAAAAAGCCTCTG